CCAGCCCCCTGAACACTACGGAGCCAAAGCCGGGGGCCAGCCCCCTGAACAGTAAGGGGCCAAAGCCGGGAGCCAGCCCCCTGAACAGTAAGGGGCAAAGCCGGGAGCCAGCCCCCTGAACACTGCGGAACCAAAGCCGGGGGCCGGGCACACTCCTGCAATATCCGCAAATTTCCCTTATGTTTAAAACCGCTTAAGTGCCGGTGCAACCAGCCACACAGTTCAGCTTACAGTTGACTTTCCGCTCATCTGATCGCTGACTATAGAAAAACTGCCCAACCAACTTTGATAAACTTGCGAGCGTGGCGCCACACACCAGCGCGTGAAAAAATCTGGGCCCAGCGCCATAGGGCCGAGCGCCACAACTCTCGATTGTCTATCGCCTAGATTACGGGCGCGCATCGGGTAGCGAGGCCCGCGTCGCACAGTAGCGCATGAAAAAATCCGGGCTCAGCGCCACAGGGCCTAATCAACCGAAGGTTAGGTTAGGTTAGGTTAGGTAGGTTGGGTTGGGTCAGGTCCGATGCGACGCGACGTGGGCCTCGCTACCCGATGCGCGCCCGTAATCCTGGCGATATGCAATCGTGAGTTGTGGCGCTCGGCCCTGTGGCGCTGGGCCCGGATTTTTTCTTGCGCTGGTGTGTGGCGGCACGCTCGAAAGTTTATCAAAGTTGGTTGGGCAGTTTTTTACGGAAGTCAAAGATGAGCGGAAAGTCAACTGTAAGCTGAACTTTGTGGCAGATTGCACCAGCACTTAAGCGGTTTTAATCATACGGGAAATTTGAGGATTTCGCAGGAGTGTGGCGCCACACTCCGTGGCGTTGAGCCCGAGTTTTAGCCGAGATCCGAGCGTGGCGCCAGGATCTGTGGCTCATTGCACCGCAGTCTTACGTTTCATGCCGCCCTGCTTCCGCGAGTCGAAGCGAGTTAGTGATGGACGAATATCGAAATCGAATGCGATTATTCGAATATTCGAAACTTTTCGATTGCGATTATTTGAGAAATCGAATCTTGCGATTTCGAATGCTTTCGAAGCGAATGTTCGAATCTTTACGATTATGGCTCCGACTTGTTTTCTTTTTTTTCTTCTTTTTTTTCTGACGGTGCTCCGTAAATATAACAAGGTGGTGGAACAAAGCTTGCACAGGGCTCTCTTTTCCTCTAGTATTTCCAAACGATGTACTTCTTCCGAAACATGCTGGTGGTAACTTGGACTCCAGGGCATGTAGGTCTGTGCTGAGCGGTCTGCAGGTCTAAAGGGGAATTTTTTAACCTGCTAATTTCGAACTGTAGGAGGGAAAGTGATGGAAAATCGCAGTTTTACCTTTTCGAATATAAATCGAATAATAATCGAATATTCGAATATTCTCACCAACATTCGATTGAGATGCGATTATCTCGGTGACGATAATTCGAATATCGAATATTCGATTATTGAAATATTCGACCATCCCTAAGAGAGTGCTCATCTCACATATCCACTAACAACCACATTGCCGGATTTACATGCTTACCGCCCCTGTAATTGGGAACCTACTCTGCCGTACAAAGGAAGAACGCCGTATGAACATTCCAGGGTTGCCAAATTTCCCTGGATAAGACATTTATATTGAGGAAATCATGCGAATAATTTTCCCTTGAAACTTTCGGACATTTTAGATTAAACTGTTGCAAAAAAAATCGTAGAGAAAAATATTCACATTTTTTTTTAGTTAATTCGGTTATTATTGAAGGAAATATGGCAACGTCGGGCGGCTCATACGACGTTTTCCCTTGGCAGTGTACGGAGTGAGTACTGACAAGTCGATAATTTTGGAGGTTAGGTAATGGAGCTTTTAGGGCCTAAAAAACAGGCACCGCCCGATTCCGTCTCGGCCTATTTTTTCATGAATGTGAGTGGCAACGTCGCAGTAATCAGAGTGGCAGAAATTGAATTTGGGAGAGTGTAAACGCTTAGCCCGTCAGCACGGCTTCAAACTTTGTGAAAATAAAAAGCTCAGTGTCCTGAATAAATTTTTAAAAACAGTCGGATTTTGATTAACTCAGCGGCTACAGCTGAGGCCCATAAGCAATCTAGTAACTCTCTGGTGATGGCAGTGAAAATGCTCCCTTCAAATTAATTTGCGCTGGGACTGACAAGAGTCCCTTTATACTGAGAGTTATTTATTCCACGTTCAACTGGCAGACAAATCGTCGTCCCCCTAACAAAAGAACGTAACTCTACTTCAATGTTGCCACATTTTAATAAAATAGTTTTAAGCCGCATTCATTCCATATCGACTGCCGTGCTTCCCACCCTGATCAATAAGCATGCTAATAATGACTGAGCTTTGCAGCGTTCGGAAAAAACGACATATTCATAATTGAACTTTTCCAAAATTCATTTGATAAAATGAGAATTTTCTAGAAAACTTGAGAATATTTTTCTTGGAAATTTTCAAAGGATTTGGTTTACACTTGAATGAATAATATCATATTTTCCCGGAATTAGAATGGTGTTCAATTGGCCGAGGGAACGGGAACATAAAATCCGCATGGCAAAATTCAAATTTATTAAGACTTTCTCCAATAGCACGGCGGCACCGGGTCGAAGAAATATAGAATCGGAATTTCTTAACTTTACCATGTTTACTCTGACCTATGAGAGAGTTTCTGGACTTTTGAGGCGATTCAAGATACGATTACAAAAAATAGTTTAATGGTTAGAGTAAAAAATGCGTAAATCCGATTGCTTGAAAGCTCTCATAGGTCATATTTAATTTCGAAATATAATTTTTAATTTTGAAAGAAAATAAAATTGGAGTCTTTTAGACGTTGTATGCGACTAAGATACAATTTATTTTCGCGTGCCTTACATATTTATATGTGCGCACGCTTTTGATTTCGTTTTGATGTAGAGTGTACGGCCAGCCCTGTTCTCTATACTTTTCAATGCGTTATACACCAAATCTTATAGTGCGATTGTTTTTTAAAACTCTACAATCTTGTGATCCTGTGATTGCCAGCTCGCGGTGTGCACTGTTTGAAAATATTGTGAACATACACCGGGGCGGGGTGGGTTCAACACCAAGAAATTATGAATTTTCAACGACTTGAATGCGCACCGTGGTATGTGCGTAATGCATGAAGTATCCTGCAGACTTGTAAGGCGCTATGCTATTCGCTGCGCGCACCGCACCGCACCGGCATGCACCGATTTGCACCGTGCTGAACGCGCAATGTATGAAGTATCCTGCAGACTTGTAAGGCGCTATGCTATTCGCTGCGCGCACCGCAGCACCGCACCGTGCTGAACGCGTAATGCATGAAGTATCCTGCGGTCTTCTGCCGTTATAGCGAAGAGAGCCGTAAGTGCAAAAATTAAGTTTTGAGAAAACGGGCTCTGAAGCTTCTGACCGGAAAATTTTATTGAAAGGAGCCTCCGTCCTTCGTCAAATTGCCACTAATCGTCCGAAAGATTCCTAGAAATCGTTTGGATGATTAAAAATCGACCGATTTTATTTCAATTATACGTAAAAAGAGTATTTTTCATTTTCATGCTAGGTTAATGTTAGCTGAGACAGCCGTAAGTGCTATCTTCTGCGTGCTTTTGTGGTAGCGTGTTGGACACACCACAAACACATTTGCAGGTTAGAAATCCGCAGATGAGGGCGGCATTCCTCTTGAAAGCACCGTTTTCATTGGTTCTCATGCACCTACGGCTGTCTTGAAGAAAACTATGTCATTTTTTGTGCACTTACGGCTATTTCATACGGCTCGTTTTCATTAAATTTGGATGAATTTTGCTGGTTTACGTGTCTCAGTAATTTCATCTAAAAGAGTTTGGAAGAATTTTGAAGAAAACTCGATTTTGAAAATTTTGCACTTACGGCTCTCTTCGCTATGACGGCAGTCTTGTAAGGTGCTACTATGCGTTTAGCGCCGTGCTCGCGAGCCCCGCACCGCGCTGCGCAAGCCGCACTGTTTTCCATGTGATTATTCAAACTTGCGGCGTCAGCGGTTTTCAACTTGTGATTCTCAAGTTTTTCTAAAGTTTGTTGAAATTATTGTCATATCAAATAATGGTAACATCACTTTAGTGTTTACCATTATTGTTACCATTCATGTTACCATTATTTGACATGACAATAAGTCTGTGTACTGTGAAACGCCTTTGGGCGTTTAGAATTATTTCCAGAAATAATGAGAGAAACTGAACCATTTACCGGGAAAATTGTGAATATTTTCCCCCGAAATTTTCAGACGATTTTGCACGCAATTTAATGTAAATATCTGAAATTTTAAAGGAAAAATATGCATAAATGTCGTAAAAAATACATGCTTTATCAAGGGAAACTTGGCAACTCTCGAATTTTCGTGCAGCGTTCTTCCTTCGCACGGCAGAATTCAAGCCGAGTCGATTACAATCAAGAAATGCCTTGAAGGAGGAGTGGATTTTAGATTTTTCCTATGTGATTTATGTTGTTTTTGAGTCATTTAAACACTTGAATTCATATGTGATGCACCCGTGGCAAGGGTTCGTGACAACCCACACATACGCAAAAGAGGGAGGCACGCTTGTAATGAAAAGATTTTTCGGGGGGGGGGGGTGTGGAGGTAAGTGACATCTAGGACAAAGGGAGAAGGAGAGGTCAAAGGTCGGGAAAAATGGGTTACGTAATTCATGGACGAACCCTCACTACTTTTCAGCAAAAAAAGGAAAGTTGTGAAAAATGAGAGATGAATTAATCCGGGAAATCCAGGTACCCTCATTAATTATTGTAATAATTGGACGTATTTCTATCAAACGGAACTACGTGCATTATGACGTGAGCCCTGTTATGGACATATTTGTATGGGTCTCAGGGCTAATGTCTTAACGCACATAGTTCCGTTTGATAGAAATACATCCAATTAGTTTTCAGTTCAATGAAGACATTTTCTTTTGTGAGCTTGCACTGACCTTTCACCTGGGAAACCCGAAATGTAGGGATATTTTGGAAATCGAAGTCACTCTTTTGTTTTCGAGAACAACAAGGAAAACTTTGGAGACCTCGAGGGCTCGGAACTTCTGGTACTTTGGTCAGTCGAAGTCGCGCAGCCATAGGGGTTGAACTTGAGCGTAGAGGATAATCAATCGGAAGTATATTTTATCGGAAATATATTCATCTCGGGACCGCGAGTGATAGTCGTGTGATTCAAGTGCATTACCATCAGTGTAGTTTCGTGTTCCGTACTTTATTATTAAAATTTTTCTCAGTGAATTATTCCGTGAATTTAGAAGGTGCAGTGAATAGTTGAACAAGTTTCCTGGCCGGTACTTTAGTTTCGTGTTCGGTACTTTATTTTCGTGTTCGGTACTTTATTATTAAAATTATTCTCTGTGAACTATTTCGTAAATATAGAAGGTGCAGTAAATAGTTGAAAAACCTTACTATCCGAAAGTTTTCTATCCACCGAAAGTTTTAGTCTGCAAGCCTCTACTTTTTCCGTCCAGTGCGATAGTTTGCCGTGTTTTACAATAAGTGGAAGTAGTGTTTGTCACTCGTGTCGGTTGTCATCGTGCGAATTTTCGGTAGTGTCTTTTCAGTGATATTTCTGTGAAATTTGATTTGAGGATATAGTTTCGGAAGTCGATTTGCTCACGTGTATTCCTCAGCGTTGATTCGGTAAGTCGCTTGATGTCATCAACAAAATGTTTTTTTTTTTCCTTTTCTTTTTTTTTTACGAGAGAAGTGTGGTTACATTTAATATCGGTGACTTAAGTGTGAAACCACGTATTTCCAGTAAATTTTACGCTACCATTTTATTTTTCGAGGAAAATTAAGTCAACTGTTTGGCTTGATATCTTTACAGAACACTGAAAAAAACACATTGGATCTAGAGTCGAGACTCTTGAAAACATTGACAAGAAAAAATACTCTTGATTCAATCGGATTTTTGCTTGAATCAAAAGGAAATCCGCTGAAATTAAGAGGCTTGGTTCTTGATCTAAGCTAGATTTGATTGAATCAAGAGTACTTTTTCTTGTCGATGTTTTTAAGAGTCTCGACTCTAGATACAATGTGTTTTCTTTCCAGTGAATATTTTGCTAAAAGAGAGGAAAAATCGAGGTAGTTTTCAAGGAATAAGTTTAGTTTTACCAAGAAAAAATAAAGTGTAACAGGAGGTCCGGGACGTCGCAGACGGAGATAGGTGATTTGACACTTCGGCCATCGATATTTAATTTGAGAATCCCTGTGGGCGATAATCTTCTGATTTTCTCGAGATTTTTTTCACAATCAGTGGAGTTATCGAGGTATTCTGCGTATTGAAATGTGTTGCAATTTTTTGCATTTGCGAATTACCTAACTTCTTCATAAATCGATGGCCAAAGTGGAAAATCATGCATTTCTATTGTGATGTCATAAAATTTCCACCTTTATTTTATTTTTTCGAAGAACTTCATGGCTTGAAATTCATACAAAGTATTCTGCAAAAATTGAAAAAAAATCACGGAAGTTTTAAAGAAAATAGGTAGACCAGTTCCCCCGAGAAAAAATGAAGTATGACAGAAAATCTGTTGAGTAGCAGACGGAAACGCATGTTTCTACACTTAAGGTGATTTAATGGACGCGATATTTTGTGTCAGAACGGCATGCGATAGATCGCATCAATTGGTTCCATTTTTTCAGTGTTCGTCATTTTTCTCCAATTTTGAGATCGCGATTCTGTTGTCAGGAGACTAAAGCACTCACTTACCAATTTTAACAAAGAAATTCAACGTAATAAAGGCGTGGTTTTTTTAGAGAGAAAACATCGCATTCGATACTGATATCGAAAGTGCACTCGAATGCGATATTTTCTCTCTAAAATTGGTAAGCGAGTGCTTTAGTCTCCTGACAACAGAATTGCGATCTCAAAATTGGAGAGGAATGACGAGTAGCTGAAAAAATGGAACCAATGAATGCGACAGATTGCATGCCTTTCTGACACTAAATATGGCGTCCATCAAATCTCCTTAAGTCGTCGATATGAAAATGTTTAATCGTTGAAAATTGATTATTATTGAATAAATTATTTGAGAATATTGTAATTTTGTGGTAAAAAAAGCAGTTTTATTCCATTATTTTTCAACATTATTTCAATTTATTTGTTAAGCTGTTCCATATACTAGACAATTAATTAAATCAATTTTTTTCTTTGCAGCCAACATTTGAGAAGGCGATGACCGAGGATGGAAATCTTCACCCTACGCATCAGAGCTGTTCCTGACCTTGCAGATCATCGCTTCTTCACGGTAAGATCTCTCAAGCTTCCTCCTATTTCGAAAATTAAGGTGATTCGATGAACGCCATATTTTGTGACAGAACGGCATGCGATATATAGCATCGATAAGTTCCATTTTTCCGGTGACTCGTCATTTTTCTCGAATTTTGAGATCGCAATTCCATTGTCAGGAGACTAAATAATTCACTTATCAATTTTGATGAACAAATTCAAAGTATTAAAGGCGTGAGGAAAATAGAGGAAAAATACTGCATTCGAATGCGATATTTTGTCTCATAAAAAAAACCCACGACTTCATTACGATGAATTTGTTTGTCAAAATTTGGTAGGTGAATTCTTTAGTCTCCTGACAACAGAATTGCGATCTCAAAATTCGAGAAAAATTACGAGTAGCTGAAAAAATGAAACCAATCGACGCGATATTTCACATGTCGTTCTGGCACAAAATATGGCGTTCATTGAATCACCTCCACTTCTAATGAATCGGTTACTGTCAATAATTTCAATTTTTGAAATGGGCTGCTAAAAAAATTGAGGGGCTTGGAGGACAAGGCGCATAGGTGCAGTTTTTGAAAAAGTTGAGATTTTAATGATTTCAAGTAAAACTAGTCTAAGTGCATATTTTGTGAAAAATTCCCTCTCAAATTTCAATTTTCAAGCTGCAAAAAGTCAGTTTGAACTTTCTTTCCGCCATAAGGATCCGTGTAATTTTGAGACTTCAAATACATAGGTATTTCTCGATAATGATTTCAAGTAAAACTAGTCTTGCATATTTTGTGAAAAATTCCCTCTCAAATTTTAATTTTTAAGCTTCAAAAAGTCAGTTTGAACTTTCTTTCCGCCATAAGGATCCGTGTAATTTTGAGACTTCAAACACATATTTCTCGATAATGATTTCAAACAAAACTAGTCTTGTGCATATTTTGTGAAAAATTCCCTCTCAAATTTCAATTTATAAGCTTCAAAAAGTCAGTTTGAACTTTCTTTCCGCCATAAAGATGCATGTAATTTTGAGACTTCAAACACATATTTCTCGAGGTAGCAAAAACTGCACTTCCGCGCTTTGTCCTACAAGCCCCTCATTCTTCCTCAACGCTGATCATCGCCGCTGTCATCATTCGGGCGATTTTAGGTAGAATCAACTTAACTACATTTCGTCGCTCCTCTGACGTAAGGGCATAACTTGATTTCTACGTGACCCCTGTGCTCCGTATAACTCTATGCTTTCTAAGGCTCATGCAAAAATCTAGATACGCCCTTACGTCAGAGGAGCGACGATTTGACGGTGCTTAGTTTTTCCTGGTGTTCTGTTTCTGTAATACTGCAGAACTACGGAAAATAATGCCTTGAAACTGTCTTATTTTTCCAAGATTCTGCAGAATAAACTATTCACTGAATTCGCTACGACAGGATTCAGCTTCATTTTTTGTCATTTCCCGGACGAAGAAACGTAACTCCATTCCAAGGTTGCCAAATTGATTCAAAGAATTCAATTTTTCACAAACACGAGAAAGCGAAATCTTTATCCAAAATTTATTTTCGTTTTTCATGAGATCAGCGGAAAAATCAGTGAAATGTACAATTA